CTGCAGTATAGGAGTAAGCTCTTCCTTGAAGGTTTGATAGAATTCAGGTGTGAAGCCATCTGGATCAGGGAATTTTTTTGTTGGTAGATTTTTTATTGTTTCTTTAATCTCAGTGCTTGAAATTGGTCTGTTCAGGAGATCTATTTCATCCGGGCTAAGTTTAGGGAGAGGGTGTGATTCCAAATATTGATCCATTTCCTTCACATTGTCAAATTTCTGGGCGTAAAGTTTCTGGTAGTATTCAGAGATAATCTTTGTATCTCTGTGGCATCAGTTGTTATTTCCCCTTTATCATTTCTCATTGAGGTTACTAGAGATTTTACTTTTTGATTTCTAGTTAGTCCAGCCAGAGTTTTATCTATTTTATTAATTTTTTCAAAAAACCAACTCCTTGTTTCATTAATTTTCTGAATGACTCTTGTTTTCAATTTCATTAATCTCTGATTTAATTTTGGATATTTCTTTTCTTCTGCTAGGTTTAGGCTTAGATTGTTCTTCTTTTTCCAATTCCGTCAGATGGTCTGTGAGTTTGTTGATAGGCTCTCTTTCTGCTTTTTTAATGTAGGTTTCTAAAGTGATACATTTTCCTCTCAGGATGGCTTTTGCTATATCCCATAGATTCTGGTAGCTTGTGTCTTCATTGGTGTTATGTTCAAGGAAGTTAATAATTTCCTTTTTAATTTCTTCCTGCACCCAGCTATCATTCAGCATAAGGTTGTTTAACTTCCATGCCTTTGTGTGAGGTTGAGCATAATTGCTGGAGTTGAGTTCCGCTTTTAGTGCCTTATGATCTGAAAAGATGCAAGGTAGAATTTCAAATCTTTTGATTCTATTGAGGTTTGCTTTGTGTCCAAGGATATGATCAATTTTAGAGAATGTTCCATGGGATGATGAGAAGAGTGTATATTCTTTATCTTTGGGATGGAGTGTTCTATATATGTCTATCAAGCACAGTTGTTCTAAGGTCTCATTTAAATCTCTAATATCTTTGTTTAATTTCTGTTTAGAAGATCTGTCCATCTCTGAGAGAGGAGAGTTAAGGTCCCCTGTTATTATGGTGTTATATAATATACCGTGTTGCTCAGACTAAGTAAGGTCTGTTTCAAGAATCTGGGAGCATTTAAATTAGGTGCATAAATATTTAGAATTGAAATGTCTTCTTGTTGTATTTTTCCCTTGACCAATATGAAGTGCCCATCATTGTCCTTTGTAACTTTAGTCGCTTTAAGCCCACGTGTGTCTGAAAATAAGATTGCAACCCCTTTTTCTTCTGACTCCCATTCGCCTGAAAAATTGATTTCCAACCCTTAACTCTAAGTTTTAATCTGTCTTTCAATGTGAGGTGTGTTTCCTGCAGACAGCAAATAGTTGGCTTGTATTTTTTTATCCAATCAGTCAATCTATGCCTCTTTAGTGGGGAGTTCAAGCCATTGACATTTATTGAAATAATCGACAAGTTTAGCAAGATGGGATTCATCAGCAAGATGGCGGCCGAGTAGCAGCTTCTGTGTAACCGGGCGCAGTGAGAAGGGGAAGAGAAGATTCCAGGAGTCTCTGGCTGGTGGCTTTTGCCCAGAGGCTGTCCTCTGGTGACCCAAGAAGTCAGTGAGAGACTTTAGGACCCCACGAGGAGGTCAGAAGCGGTGGAAAACAGGCAAGTAGTGGGTGCCCGTTTGTTCGGTCCGAGGCTGCCTGCAGCCGTACCTATAGCAACAGCGAGACTGCAAGTGGGAAGAACCTTGCCTGGGGGCTGTTTTGGTTTGTCTGGACTTGGGCACTCCATTGAACTGCCTTGGGAGACCTGGGGCCGGTGTGCGGATGACTTTGGGCGCTGTCTGGGCCCCCAGACTGAGCCACTGAGCTGGTAAGGAGCTAATGCCACAGTTTCTTTGGGGAGCTGCCCCTGCGTGGTGCAGTGCGGAGGGCCGGGAGTTCTCGGGCGAGTGGTCTAGTGACTGAGCTGCCCAAAGGCAGGGGCTGTGATGCTGGAGGGGTGCGGAGCTCCAGGTGTTTGGCAGATTAACACCCTTGGCCCTCAGGGGCATTGAGGGAAACTGGATTTGGTGCTTTGGATAAGCAGGCAGCCACATCAGGAGAGATCCCAGGGATAAATGCTTTCCTTGGAAAGCTTCTGCTTGGCCTAGGCCCATGGCTTGGAGGGTCTTTTAAGTGGGCCAACAAGATATTTGGGCTCCTAAGCCTGCGGGGTCTGTGAAATCAGTTGAGGGCGCTGGTCTCCATCTTGTACAGCTGTATCAAATTTGGGATTAATTTCTCACGCCTCAGAAGATCACCTGTTGCCCAGACAATATTTACCAAGATATATATGCTGTTTGTTTTGGTTTTTGGTTTTGGGGTTTTTGCTTTTTTGGGGTTTTTTTGAACTTTAACTTTTCTTTTTTTTGGATACTTTTTCTAGTCTTTATACAACCTTCCATTTTTGTCTTCTTTAACAATTAGAATTTTATTTTTGTCAGTGTTTCTGCCCCTATTATTTGTTTGTTTGTTTGTTTTTTAACCTCTCAACTTTGTCCTACTAAGGGTTTTTGCTTTTTTGTTATGGTTTGATTTATAGCATTTTGGTCTCTCTTCTCTACCTGGTGGAGGTGGGGTACTGTGTCTGAGAAACAAACATCTTTACCTGAAACTTACAGCTAGTGTACCTTATAAATTTAAATTACTTTGTATCCTATAACACTAGTTTGCTGCTATTTCCCTTTGGTCAACTTCCAATCTATTTTCTGTATTGCAGCTCAAGTGGTCTTTTAAAACACAAATTTGATTATAGCATCCGATGCTTAAAATGCTCCAATAGTTTCTTACTATTCTCAGGACAAATGATGTCTTCTTACTCTAGCTAAAGCCATCTAGTTAAACTCTTACATCCACCAGTGGTCTTTCTACCCCACTCAAGCCCTTCTTCTCTGACTTTCTTAACTCCCATCACCCCGCTCCATTCTTAACCACCCTGCACTCCTTCCATAAACATTTGAACATAATCCCTCTCCTCTTTCCCTAGGTAACTCCTACTGAGGGCCAGTTCAAGGTTGCTCACTTACAAATTAGTTGATCTTTGGGCCTATGCAGCCACTTTATGAAAAATAGAAGTCATCCCTTCTGGGCAGATGCCATCCTGCACCAGATCCTTAAGCAGAACACAGGTTGTATTCTAGCTCCCTGTCAGCCAGTGGTCAGAGGACAAAGCATGGCCGTGTGCAAGTACCCTGGAGAAGCCTCCTGAGCTCTCATGGCCCCATCACAGCACACCTTTCCCTCACAGTGTGTATCACAGTTGGAATTTCTCGGGTACTCATGCAACTATTCAATGAAGGCCAGTATTACTCCCCAGATAGTAACCTCCCTGGCCGGAAGAGGACGTCTGTTATTTTATTTTATTTGAGACAAGAGTCTTACTATGTTGCCCTTGGTAGCATGCTGTGGCATCTCAGCTCACAGCAACCTCAAACTCTTGGGCTTAAGTGATTCTCTTGTCTCAGCCTCCCAAGTAGCTAAGACTATAGGCGCCCACCACAACACCCCAGCTACTTTTTTTGTTGTAGCTGTCATTGTTTGGTAGGCCTGGGCTGGGTTCAAACCCGCCAGTTCCGGTGTACATGGCTGGCACCCTAGCCGCTGAGCTAAGCTAAAGACACCGAGCCAGGATGTCTGTTTTGAATCATTATTGTATCCTCAGCATCTAGCACACAGCCTGGCAGAGCCTCAGTACATTGTTGGTGGATAAGTGAATTGTTAATTCGCAAGAGTATTTTAAAACTATCATAAATATAAGAATGATGCTTCTGTTCTACTTACATGGAGAAGTTGGAAAATTTGATTCTTTAGAAGTAGAGAATAGAACAGTGGGGTGGGGAGGAGGCTGGGAGAGGGAGCAGAGTCCACACTGATCAGTGGATACAAAAGGACAGCCAGATAGGAGGAGTAAGTTCTAGGGCTCCATGGCAGTCTAGGACGACTGTCGTTAACAGTTTATTACATGTTTTCAAATAGCTAGAAGAGCGGTTTTTGAACCTTCCAGTGCAAAGGATAAATGTTTGAGGTGGTGGGTGTGTTAATTACCCTGTTTTGATCATTACATCGTGTATACTTGTCTCAAAATATCATGTGTCCTATAAATATGTACAATTATTGTGTCAATTAAATATGGTAATAAGGGGCAGCACCTGTGGCTCAAGGAAGAGGGCGCTAGCTCCATAAGCTGGAGGTAGTGGGTTCCAATCCAGCCCCAGCCAAAAGAAAAAAAACATAGTAATAAGTCAAAATATATTGGAGGGGATTAGGCTGAAAGGGATCCAGAGCCTTGCATTCTTAGGTTATAAAAGCAAAATCCAACTCAAATTTATTCTTATAGATTGCAAGAATGGTTGGTCTTTAGAGTTAAATCATCCAAAAATTAGAGGGGAGGTGAGAGGGAGATTGGTGTGCTTTCACCTAAGAGGCACAATGTAAAGGTATATGGCACTCCTCCCCGGTGACAGGCACATCTACAAGCAGACTTGACCTCACAAACACAAACCATGTCACCTAATCATTTCTACCCTCATATTAATCTGAAATTTAAAAGTAATAAGAGAAGAAAAAGTCATGATGCTGGCTCGGCGCC